ACTAACTGACATCAATCAATCGATCAATCAATCAGTCAGCCAATCTGTCACTCAATCACTCACTCACTGAGTTTTAAGTAATCAAACAATCAAACAAACCTTTTTTAAGGATTTAATCAATCCACCAATCAAAGGGTGGCGCAACCCCCACACCCCAGTCGGAGAGGAAAAACCACAATTCGTCAGGGAGAAATGAAATGCATAGGACCTATATATTTTATAAATATTAGTAGACTCTAAAATCGTATTAAATAAGCCTTTGAAACCCCTAAATTGTCGTATTTTTCGGGGGCTTCGCCCCTGGAAAAGCTTTTTAGAGATTTTGAGTGACGCCCGACCACGCCCACTTTTTTCACTCAAGTTAGTGGTAGGCCTAGTTTCTTAGGCATTTATTTTCAATATTTCAAACTACCATCCTTTATCATTTGATAGTGTTCAATAGCAATTAATTACAATTCTATACCTTCATTTCGACATTACTGTTGGCCTATAAGTCAAAATTATTTCATGTTTTTATAAAATAAAAAAAGTACATCCTAAGTAAATTAGACATTTTTCATCTTACGTTTTCCATTCAGATTTTTATTCTTTTATCATTTAAATGTTCATTTTTTACGAAGAAAAATCCAGATATTTATACTTCCTAAGTACGTATGCTTAAGTAAGTAAGTACTGTAAGTATGTAAGTAAGTACTTATTTATTGAAGTCACCCGTTTTAACAGAAAGGCTAGCCAGAAGTGGCTTATGAGAGACTAAACATTAGGTCTATGTTTACTTCATAATATATGTTTAATCCATCGATATGCCATTTTCAAATGTCTAAACATAAACTTTTTAAAAAAATACAATAGCCTTAGTTAGAGGTGCTTTGCACTGTTTGCCCTCTCCATCACTGGCTACCGTCTTTTTATTATTCGCATTGTCAGTGTAAAGTCAATAAAATAAAAATAAAATAAAATACTAATCTATTTTGTTATCAAATAGCAATAATTTCATATAATATATATTGATTATCCTACGTGTATCAGATAAATGAAGAGTAACTAAATAGGCAATATTGTTTATAAATTTTTACATCAAGAAAACATAGGCCTATCTTTGAATATAGAGTTATTAAACGAAATACAATAAAAAAAAAATTATCATGTAATAGTAACCCTGTAAACGCTTAGTATTAAATCTGTTGGTCAAATTTTTGTTAAATATTTTTAGCGTCAAAGAAACATTTTTCTAAAATACAGTAAAACCATTATCTTACGTGTCAAAGAAAACCCATGTAAACGATAAGCAAATAAAATATTGACCAAATTATTGTTGAATAAATTTCGCTTCAAAGAAACATGCAAAAATAGTATATGAACCGAATTATCAAACATTTTATTAAATACAATAAAACGATTATCTTACGTGTCATGGAGAAACTCAGGTAAATGATGAACATTGAAAGCGTATGGCACATCATTCTCGACATCTTTCAACGTCTATACAGCATAATTAGTGTATATAAGTAAATATAATATTTTGTGTTGGAATTGCAGATTAGCGTGGTACAGTATATCACGATAACTTATGAATATTTAAAAAAATTATGGTGTTTACTTGCAGATGGTGGCGCTATAAACATTCTACTAATTAGGAAATTATAATAATTAGAAAATTATAATAATTAGGAAATTATAAAAGTAATGATATTATATTAATAATCAATATTAATAGCAATGACAGCAATAGCAGTAACAAAAACAACGACAATAATAGGCTCACCAGGAGATTGAATACTTGATAAGATAAATTTAAATTGTATTTTCTACTTTCTTAATAATTTTATGATGCAACCAACATAAAAATACACAATAAGGTATATACAGTAGAACACTTTTTAAGTAACATCAAAATATGCATTGGGATATGAATTCATATATATAGAAACCATTAAAATACATATTTTACTTTTTTCAATCATATCTTAATTAAACTTAATTATATTAAACCCCTTTAAAACGGGATTAGATATTGCGTATTAATCGTAGTCAGCCCTTTTCAAAACTTCCAACAAAGTATATATAGCATTCTCATAATTGGACATATTAATTAATTTTGGGCGCAATTCAAAAGTAAATTACACTTGTTAACAAAAGCTCTTAAGTTGATTGGCCAATAGCCTCACGGGCAGATGTTATTTCTTAAAAAGCTAAGCGCGATTATGACGTCATCATATAATAAGTACAGGTACTGTAAGTAAGTAACTTTATTGCTTCTCTTTTATAACAGAGGCACAGCCGTAAAGACGTGCAACAATAACAAAATCAGTAAAAACTTAATTACTGTGATAAGTAATTTCAACTTTCGATCGTGTTCAATTAAAACAGCGCCTCCAATGATTTATCTGTTATCACGATGCATTTTCAACCAAAATTATTTCGTCACTTGCTGTGAGGACGATTCGGTAATTGGAAGCCTTTTTTCCACAACATCTTCTCAATAAATTTAGACAGTCTTTATGTGGCTGTACAGGCAAAGTATGACACAGTCGCGCTGATATGTAGCAAGCTAGTATAACGAAAAATACAAGGATTGGCAAGACAACTGCAAGGTACTGCCCTCTGGAATCTTCTTTTTCTGGAAAAAAATATAAACAGTTTGCAACAACATCTTAATTTGTTTTGTATTTGTTATTAATACGTCGCTCACATCACGAACTAACACAATTAAATTCATTTACCATTTACAGTACAAAAGACATGCTAAAAATTATTGTTTTCTCTTTATTCAATATTATATAGTATTATATATATAGGCCTATACATATATATATATATACACACAAATATACTTATATATACGTATATATGTATATATATATGTATATATATGTATATACATATTTATATACATATGTATATATATATG